CACACACACTCGCACACACACTCGCACACACACTCGCACACACACTCGCACACACACTCGCACACAGCTCCCTCAAGTACTTCATCTCCACCCCCCTGGGACACAACCCGTGCTCCTTCGCCTTCCGCATCCCGGCCAGCATCTCCCCCGGGGTGGCCTACGTCTTGGCCCGGGTGGACCGGTCGTACTGCTCCGGCGGGACCTTCTCCTCGCCGGATGGCGGTCTCATCCTGTCCTTCCGTAACTTGTCCAACATCCCCATGTGCCTGATGGTGCCCTCGACACACCCGCTGCTGCCAGTGGTGGCCACCTGCGGGCAAGTCAGTCGCCGGGCCGGCGTCGACATTGTGCTGGCCCTGTGCTCGGCATCGCGCACTCTCAGCTCCTCGGCCCAGCAAATGTACCTGCTGCCGGAGTTCCGCTTCGAGTCTTCCTCCCTCCCCTCGGGCCCGGGCCGGTCGATGGACTTCCTGTCGTCGTCGTATGGCAGCCGGTCGGCCGCCCGGGCGCCGGCCTTCCTCGGGGGCGGGCCCGCCAACACCTTCTCCTCCCATGCCCCTGGCTACGGGGACTCCGACAGCAATCCCAGCGACGTGGACAAGGACCACGACCGGCTGACCCCCGACGGCGATCTTTCCCCGGGGTTCGGCAATGTCGGCCGGGTGGTGGTGCCCAACCGGCCGATGCGCGGGCCCCGGCGCCTGGCCGATGACGGCCTGTCCGATGGCATCCGTGTCCAGGGCTTCGGCGAGGTGCCGTCCGAGCCGTCGGCCGCCGGCCGCCAGCCGGCCGCCAGGCGCAGCACCTCCCCCGACTCCGACTCCGACGCCGACTCCTCCTCCTCCTCCTCCTCCCCCTCTTTGGACTCCTCCAGTTCCAGCTCCGACTCCACCTCCACCTCGGATTCCTCCTCCGACTCCGGCAGCGATGACCCCTACCCCCGGGCGCGGGTGTATCCGCCGCCCCATGGCCGCGGCACTCGGCGCCATCAGCGACGCTCGCCCCGCCGGCGGCATGTCACCCCTCGCCTGCAGAGCGGTGCCCGAGTCCCGAATGCCTCGGGCCTCCTGGCGCCGGTGGCCGCACCCCCGCCGGTGCTGGCCTCCCCTCGCCCGGCCACCACGGCCACCGAGTCGTCGTCGTCGTCGTCATCGTCGTCGTCGTCATTCTCGGGATCCTCCGACGAGCTGTCTGACGGGGCGCCGGACGCGCCGGTGGCCGGCCCCGGGCCGAGCACCGAGCAGGCGCCCGCCTCGGCCGCGGCCGCGGCCCCGGCGACGAATGACCCCCCGCCGGTCGCCCCCCCGTCGGCCACCGGTGGCTATGGCTTCGACAATGACTCGTCCTCGTCCTCGTCCCCCTCCTCCTCGGACAGCGGGTCGTCCAGCCGCTCGGCCCCCTCGCTGCACAGTGTCTCCTCGCGCCGGCGGTCGGTGGTGATGCACGCGCCGCAGCGGTCGGCCCACATGGCCGATGCCGAGGCCGGCCACGGCGCCGAGGCCGGCCCCGGCGCCCGGTCGGACCACGATGACGCCGACACGGACGGGCCCGATGGCTCGCCGAAGCTCATGAACCGCTTCGACCTGTTCGAGCAGTTTTCCACCCTGCCGCTGGCCGTGCGCATGCTCGGGCACCTGGGCGCCCTGACCAAGAAGAAGCCCGGGCTGCCGGAGCGGCGGCTGCTCGGCCTGTTGCTGGACCTCCCGGGCCCGATGACCTCGACCCTGGGCACGGAGCTGCTGGGGCTGTCGATGCTGGCCCCGGCCTCGCGTCAGGCCCGCAAGTACCAGCCCCTCCTGGCGGCCATGGACATTGCCATCCGCATGGTCCTCGGGTTTGGGTCCTTCCTGCTGGTGTACATGGCCTTCCTGCTGCCCGGGGGCTACGGCGCGGCGGCCTTCTCCTCGCTGGCCGCCAGCGCCGGGGCCCCGGAGAGCGCGGCCCACTTCACCTCCACCGCGGTGGGGCTCTTCATCTGCCTGGCCCTGGGGTTCAGCCACTTCTCCCTCTTCCGGCATTTGCTGTCGGACTCGGGGCTCTTCATGCCGGAGTACCCGCTGTCGGCCCTGTCGCGGCCGTTCTTCCTGCTGGTGCTCGGGGCCATTGGTGTGGCGGTCCGCTTCACCCGCCCCGGGGTGGTTTTCTTGGTTCTTGTCCGTTTTGTTTCCTTTCCTTTTCCTGGTTTTTTTCCTTTTTTTCCCTCCTCCTTTTCCCCTTTTTTTTTTGTTTCTCTCGGTTCTCCCGACCATCCTGTGCCTTTTCTAACCCACCATCCCCCCCCCCCCCCCCCCCTGTTCTGTCCCCTTGTTGTCCCCTTTCGCCCCCCACGCCGCAGTCGCCACCGCCATCGTCCCTGCCCTCTTCGGCGCCGGGGCCATCCCCACGCCGGTGACCCTGATCTCGGTCCTGGCCGAGACCACGGACAACTTCTTCTTCGGCGCCGCGGCCGCCTCATCCACCCCGCGGGCCCTGGTGTCGCTGATGCTGAGCGGCGTCCTGGCCGGCGGCGTGGCCCTCTCCTCGGTGTACCTCCTGTCGGACCACTCCGGCCATGGGTGGGCCCATGCCCTCGGGGCCCATGCCGGCATCACGGTGGTCGTGGCCTACCTCGGGAGCTGGCTGCACCATTCGCTGGTGGCCGCGCGCACCTCGCCGGCCATCTTCCCGGTCATGCGCTCCGGGCCCCTGAAGCGGGTGCACCTGAGCCCGTCCATCCGGCGGGCCTTCCTCCTGCCGGCCATCTTCGGGTTCTGGCTCGGCGTCGGGCTGGCCTGCTCGGAGCAGCTGTCCGACGATGCGGTCGAGGGGTTCCTCTTTGCCACCATCATCGCCTCGATCGTGGCCAATGCCACGGCGCGGCTGCTGCTGCCGCAAATCTCCCGGCTCTTCCCCTTCTCCTTCCTGGCCACCACCTACTCCTTCAACCAGCGTCTCAAGTCCGAATCCAAGCGCCTGCTGGATGCCTCGTCGGCCGGGGCCTTCAGCCTGACGTCCCTCCTGAGCCGGCCCTGGTCGCTGACCCTCTCCCTGCGGGGCATGCTCCGGCATGCTGGCCGCCTCGACGAGTGGATCCTCCTGCCGCTGGTGTGCCTGCTGTCGGTGCTGTACGAGCTCCGGACCGGGCGCCTGGTGGCCGCGCTGCCGGGCCTCCCGCCGCTGTGCGTTCCGCTCCCCTCTCCCCCCCTCCCCCGTATTTGCTCCCACTGCCGCCCCCCCGCCCCCCTGACACGCTGCTCACC